TTTTTAATTTTTTGGGCTTTTTATGTCAATAAAAAAGTAATTACACATATATATATCAGTTATATATAATAGTTCTCAAAATATGAATTTTAAATTTTTTATCATGACTAATAATATTTTATAAATATAGAAAACTAAAAAATTATGTATAAAACCCGCGACCAAACTCCAAAAAGTCCCAAAAAAAAAAATTCATAAAATCAACTTCTTAAATTAGTCTAAACAAACTTTTTTGGGTTCAAAAATTTACTGCATAAACTGATCCAAAAGCCGAAGTCCAAACGGACGTACTTATTTTATTTCAAAAGCCATAAAATCAACTTATTTCAGCCAACTCTAAACAGCCCATTGTAGCCAACAAGCTTTACTCTTCACGTGCTCATTGCTAATGCTTTGATCGTCAGCCATTCAACTGACGTCACCCCAAAATATTTTTGACCATGATGAGGTTTTCCTCGATTTCAATATCCAGAAGAGTTTTCAGGCATGGACAAGGCTACGCTATCGGCTTCAGTCGATGCATGGACATGACCAGTTTTTTGGTCTCACTAAACCTTTATCTGGTACAGGTGGTTGCATCAGTAAAATCCAAGGTGGGCTTGCTGCTTTCTGGATCAATTAGGGCATTTAACTGCATTTTTTCCCAGAAACATACAACAGCTAGCGTAAAACCACCTTCCTACTACTTATGGAGGAGGTGCTCCTGCTCAATTCCATAATCATGCAATAAAAGTTCCCTAAAAGTGTACATCATGAACAAAAGCATGGCTCAAAGATTTGGCCGAGTCGGCTACTATTACACGATACGTGTAAACTCTAAATCTCGCACGACTCATCCAAGTTGTATCCGACTTAATCTCCAGTTGCCGAGTTATCATTATCGAATCGCCTGATACAATTCCATGAAGTCACGATATGATCTGAATCTTTAGTCATGTTCAACATTTTCTTTTAAGGCGTATTATCTGCACGACCGATGTATCTCATAACCCTCCAAGTCAATGGACCTTGAACCATGAACAAAAATGGTTGCACTCTTAAAGTAAAAAGACAATTATGGTTGAATCTAATGGTTACTGCTTTCATACATATGATCTCACAACACTCTACAAATGGTTGAATATAGAAGTTACTACTTTCATACATATGATCTCACAAAACACTCTACAGTATAATTGTTAGCTATTAGCTACTGAGATTACATATTTGGAAAGAATAATTCATCAGCACTAATTACATTATTGTCTGCAACTAGCCCATGAATTCGAAAAGAATAATTCACCAAGAATAATTATGTATGCAGGAAACATGATCAATAAAATCTATTATTACAGTGACCACAACCTCTACATATAATTGGTGAATCTTTTGTACTAAAATGAAACCATATAACGCAAAGGGCTCTCACAAGTTCTGACAGTGATCAAAATCCGGATAACTAGACTAATATGATCATCAAAAATATTGGCTGATAAATTTTTCAAGCAAACATGACACATATAATTGCTATTGACCATGGTATCCCAGCTACTTGGGGTTCACACAACAAAGTTCTTGCACTGCATCTTCAGAGCATTTGGCAAACAAGACACAACACATAGGAACTAGGAACTAACAAGTAACACATTAAAGATATTGCAAATGAACCTCTAATAAATCGAAAGATAATTCTTATGTACATCGCAAACTATTTAAAATGTTAACACAGAGAAACAAAAACCTCTTCATCCAACTAAGTGAAGCTCCATCCCAAAATAGATAGAAGGAGAGCAAAAAGTAATACTTAATTTCTCTGTCATCTTTACAGAAATATAGCTACTAATACCTTCAAATGGAATCACAAAATTTGGAAGTTATTGACCTTGAAACTTCCACAAAACACTTGAAGGATAGCCGTCACAGACTTATTTAACCCTGCAATAGAATATATTCATCATCTCAAACCCACAAATCAAATCGCCCACAAAGCACAAAATAAAATTTTGAATCACTTGTACAAGGAAAAACTATACCTTCGAAGGATTTTCGACTTTGTATGAATCCGGGGTCACTGACGCCAACCACATACCAGGGAGTACATTCTGCAAAAAATTATCAAACACAGCAAATCTCAGTACCATATCAATGACAGGAAAGAAACCAAGCACCTAACTTACATCAAAGACTGAAAATTGTGGACGAAAAAGAAATGGGTTATTACATCTACTGCTTTCTGGGCATTCCTTGCTCTCTTCTTCGGCCTCCTTGCTGGCTTCGATCCAGTCAGAATAAAGATATCCTCTTCAATCTCTTCCCGTGAAAGAGAAATAGAGAACTTCTGCTTCTTCTCCTTTTTTTCTGAACCATTCCCTTCTGATTCCAACCGATCTGAGTTCACCTGATGCAATTGGGCTTTATTCTCTTGCACCGAAGATCCACCAAATTTTGATGTTCCTCCATTGATGTTCAGCGGCTTGCATATAGGCTTTCTTGGCCTTAAATTCCATGTCTTGGGCATCGGTTCTTCCACTTCTCCTTCAGCCCCAATTGTTTTTCCCTCGTCTCTAACCTCATCAATCTTCTCCTCATCTTGAACAACCTCAATAACTTTACCCCCATCTTCTACGGCTTCATCGGGCTTGGTCTTTTTGAAACGTATATAGATCCTCGATGATCTGACTTCTTTTCCTCTAACCCCATTGATGTCTGACACTGTAGACGATTTCTTCGAACTTTCGACTTTTTGATCAGAAGAAGAAACAAAAAGCCCATTTTTAACGACGCCCTCTGGTCTCGAATTTTTCCGGCTTTCAGTAACGATTTTCTTCTTCATCGGGATAGTATAGCCAGAGTCTGATTCGGAGGCGGATTCACGGAAAGGGGACTGTCGCCGTACCGATTCACGCATCGGAGATTGACGCGGTACCGATTCACGCATCGGAGATTGACGCGGTACTGAATCGCGCATCGGAGACTGGCGTAGACCCCACTCACGCACCGGAGATCGGCCAAGTGGCGCAGAATCGCGCATCGGAGATTGGCGTGGAGCCGAATCATGCTTTGGAGACAGTCGCGGCAGCGGCGGCGCCGAATCGGACGGTGAAGATGTTTGTGGTGAAGAATCAGCGAGTTTGGTGCGGCCGCGATGGTGATTGTTGGTATGGTTTTTCTTCCATTGGTAGGGCAAAGTGAAGTTGTGCAGAGTTTGAGACTTTGCAGGAACTGGCGATGCCATGCTCTTTCTCTTACCCTCTTCTCTTCTGTTATTCAGAGCCAAAAAAACTTTTGTTTCTCTCCGTCAATTTACACCGATCGATTGCCCGATTAGAGTTTTGTCTCTCCTCCGATCGTTCACAGAACTTTCAGATAAAAAGAAAATCAAAAGCTACGCAATCAACAAAAGAGAACCAAATTTTCAGAAATCACGAGAAAAAACGAGCTGATATACATTAGAGATTTCTCTGTATTTAATCGCCTGCGAAGCTTCATTGTAGCGCGCAGAGAGAGAGATAGGAGAAGGAGATGGAGAGTTTCTCTGTCTAAAACAGATTATTTTTGTGTGATTTGAATGCCGTATGATTGAGATAACAAAGAATTGAAACGCTAGAACTAGAGAATTGTGGAGAAAGAAACAATCTAGAGAGAGAGAGAGAGAGAGAATGGTGTTCGGAGGTGAAGTGACGAGGAGGGTATGGGATGTGTAAAATACACCACCAGGGCGGTTATACGGTGTTTGGTGAGTCTGGAATGAACACGGCAGGTCTTATTTCTTTTGCCAATTTTACCCTTCGATATCTCCTCTATTTTCTAAATTATTTCTCTATTTTTTTAAAGGACAAATTATATTTCCATTTTCCACCCCCATTTCATCCATGTATATGTTTCGATTAGATGAATTTTTCAAATCATAGATGGATACATTCATTAGGCTGTTTTTTTTGGGTCATAAAAAAGGGTTAAGGGGTAACCAAGGTGGAACTCTTGTTTGGGTGTTATTGCCGTTGTCCAAACTCATGAGGGAAGCCTATCAGGGAAACCTAGACGATGAGAAACTGTAGATACTCTCAAAGACCGACTTAAATCATAATCAAATTTAGTAATACAAAATCTGTCAATGAGAGAAATGTGAATCCCCCTTAATCAAACCCTACTTATTAATAAACGCGTGGGAGTCCGAGAGGACCTTAAATGGAATATTATAAGCCACTCAACCTCCAAAGGAATCATAATATGTCAAAAATATTTTTTACATTGTCCTATGAACTATCATATTCTTCACATTGTAATGTTAACTATTTAATTAGTTTTACATCACTTTAATTATTAATGTTTATGACATATTTAATGAAAAATTACTTTATTTTATCTTTTGAACGATGTATTTTTTTCATTTTATCTTGATACGTTGGCAATATTTGTGCCAAAAAAAATGGACATTTGTGATTGAGGCGATGTGAAATAATCCAAATAATTGAAGAAACTATGTAAAAAATTCAATAGTTTAAGGGATAAAGTGAAATTTAGTCCATAGTTTTAATAGTCAAAGTATATTTTACCTTTTTTAAAGGGTGAATAAAATCAAAAAATAAAAATATGGAACTAGTTTGACCATGTTGTAAATACATTCAACCAGACCAGTCCAATTGTTTTTTTTTTCTTTCTATTTTGGATACTAAAGGGTGATGGTTTGATTCAAACTTGGCATGCACGGTTTAGTAATATCCACCTTTTGTTATTGGGTTCAAACCCTAAGTATATAACTCTTATCAATCAGGTCAATCTCAAAGATTTGAATATTCGATAAAATATCGCTCCTTAAAATCACCGTTCATAGATTCACTTACTTGTGTGGAAAGATAATTTTATACAATGTTTAACATTAGTTTGGTACATGATGGTGATCTACTCAGACAATCGGGATATCTGAAAAAAAAAAAAAAATCCACTCTTATAATTCAACGTTAAATCACATATTAAAAACCCAATAAGTTTTCAATAATTTTAAGTAAATCTTTTATCAATATAGAATGAACAATCTAAAATTAAGTAATCTATTCTTAAAATGTATTTGAACCATTTTTCTCTTATATTGTTGCATACTAACCTAATTTTTGTGTATTTATAGATCACAACATGTCATTTAATTTTAGTCATCAATCCAATTCATGCTAAGTCATTATCATTATTATTTTTTAATTATTATTGATGACTAATTACATGTAATGTTGTGTCATTTTACATCCTCAAAGATTAAATTTTTCGCATTGCATCTTAATATATCAAAAATGTTACAATGTAACTCTTATTTTAACTTCCGTTATTTTTTTCGTCAAAAGTCAAACCATTGACACTATCAAAAAACTAGTTCGATCCAATTTAATAGTAACATTACCTTTATTTCATAATAACAACTAATACAATATCAAAAATAACCTTTCGATATCGTAATATTTTTCTGTACTTATTGTGCAGTGGTCTTCTAATATTGAAATAGTAAATACTATTGTGTATCTTGCACACAGTTTTGGGGAAGTACAAGCCAGAAGAATAACACAGGCCTTTTACCTATACTCAATAGAATAGAAACATCTAATAATCATATCAATACATAAAGATCATACTTCTACAATAAGACCAGAAATGTATGAGGTACTATCATATGTATGCCTATAGAGTACAAGTGTATCTTCTTATTGAACCATGATATCAATGATAATGTTTTATCGCAGCTAGATAATGAATATCGACCTATCTATACAATATCAAATGGTAACGTGATATTATTGTCAGATAATGAAAATTCACTCATCTACACAATTGTTTGCCCTTGAACATTTCTACACAGCTAGCATTGAAATTCTTTCTTAAGAGATACAAAACTTCACTCTACCAAACATTCATTTCTGCCACAGCAAGTGTTCCGATGGCCTTGCAGAGAAAAAGTAGCCGATCTTATGAAACAAGCCCTTCTCTTATGAAATCGAAGTTGTGGACTCAGAGTCAAGACTAAAGACTATAAAAGAAGTGGCTTCAGTTAGGCCTAGCCCAAAGAAACAAAACACAAAAACACTCCTTCTTGTGTGTGACCCGACTCCCACTTTGACACTTTTTTATGTGGATGCAACGATTATTCCCACTTTTCGACGAATCGTTCCAGAGGGGTACAACCAGAAGTAAAACTTCTTCTTCTCTTTGGTGGTTTGGTTTGGACCGCTGCATTGCATTGAATATTTACCATATGAAGATAACTAAATCCTGCACACTAATGGAAGGTGAAAAAGCGCAGTAAAAGTGAGCAACTCTACTACACCAGTTATAGCAATCCTCCCCTATACCAAAAAATTGAAATTGTAAATGCCTAAGGTAATCCTCATGTTTACATTAAATATAATGACCCCTTTTGAAATACACTTGGGTAAAGTTTAGTAACACTGTTTTAAGTAATTTTCTTTAGTGACAACAATTTCATTAATAAAGTAAAAGCATGTTTAATTATAATTCCACAAACGTATTCTGGATACATTTTAGTGTATAACAAATACACTAGTATACGCGTACATGTATACTACAATAAATGTGATTAACGTCAGAAAAATGGAGGAAGCCCCAATAAAGATACTTCCAGAAAGCGTTACCAAACGATTTATTATTTCTTCCAACGGAATCATATTGGATGAACAACAACCTCCACAAGCTGGAGAAAATAAGTGGGAGGATCCAGCAATCGTTGTACACCTCCTGTTGAAGTTGCCTAGTTGAGGGTATACATGAGCTAACGAGTTCCCTTTTTGATTGACATTTGAAATTTCAAGCCACCTGCTAGGTCGGGATATCAAGATGGCTAAACTCCCAACGCATGCAGTGAACTGAAAATTGTTGCTGAAAGTTTAGTTTCCTGAATTCCTGTATGGATTGGCAAGTTATCAAATAAAGTGTGCCATGATGAAGTCTAATGTAACCGTTAGAATTATGCAGAACATATGTAGGTCACAACTAAGAAAAGAACAAATACAAGTCCTTGAACACGCGAGTCACGCCAAGAAAAGAACACAAGCAGTGATTGAACAGATATAAGTTGCAACAAAAAAGAACATATATAAGCCCTTGTGTACGCATGTCAGTTCCACCAAGAAACAAACACATGCAACGTACAAGAACCCAAAGAGTTATGAAATACATGTAAGACGCAAGAAAGAACACGTGCAGTTCTTAAACACATGTAACAAGCAAAAAAAGTACAAATGCAAATTCTTTTGTTCTGACGGCAACAGAAGAAAATTGAGAGTAGTTTAGCTAGGTTAAAGAGATTTGTTAAAAGTGCATCTCTAATGTTCCCTCTGTCATTAAGTGGCGTGATTAATTTCTAAAATAGCACTCGCAGCTTGATAAGACGCTTGACAATACACTTCAATTAGAAACTTGCCTACTAAATTCCTATTCTAACTTGGCATACAGTAGATACCAAGGAGTCAGCTTACTCCATTACGGTGGTAAATTGCTTTTATTCTCCAGTAGATAGATCCAAAAACGATTTACCCCCAAAACGATTGAAAGGCTCATAGATATCACATTTTTGGACCAAAGTGATACGGTTGACTGTCCATCCAAATTGACAGAAAGTACAAGAAGCACAAGAAAAGTATTCAGGGCATGGGAGGAAAAATTTTCCATCCAAAAATTGATTTCCAACTGAATAGAGCATCCCCCCAACACACACAAATACAAAAAATGGATATTTGAATGAAGAGAAAAAGAAAGGAGGAGAAAAGGAACCAGTCCCATTGCAGAAGAAGAAGAGGACTAGGTCTGCCACGGCATAACCAGTGCTCAAGTATGGTATATTGACCTTTATACATACAAATGGCAGAATCAGAATGTGTAAGTGCAGGTGCTTCAATCATTTGGCCGTGGGTTTTGGGTTTGGGGGTATGCGAGTGTGTGTGAAAATAGCTAGATAGAAAGGGGGGGGGAGAGAGAGAGAGAGAAGAGGAGAAAAAGATTACTCATTGAAAACCGAATGGCTAACACAGACAATTCTATGTCCAAGTTTTACCCTATTCACAGAGATACCTTTTAGAACTCACAGAAGGAAGTTATCTGTCTTATTATATTGTAAATGATTTGGTTGGTGCAGAGCCGCGAACTTGGAAGTGAGTCACAAAACTCATGCTGATCAATGCATTCCAAGGCATCTTATATTCAGATTGGAACTTGGATAAGGAATTGCTAGAAAGTATTTACAGAATAAGGAAACCACCCAAATTTATCATCTGAGCCCAACCAAACCAATGCCGTCAAGTACAAGTTCTGGTCAGGACAAGTCATGGCAGAATGAATGCACAGAGGACATACATAGAAAAAAAAAGTCACTGAAAGGAGAGAGAAACAAGAAGAAGATAGTAAGGAAAAGGACGAAAACAAAGGAAGAAGAGATGAGAGGAAGATAACGATAGTATTGTTAATTCATTTTTACATTAATGAAGCTGAGTCATTTCACTCTGTTCCAAAAAAACACAAGGAGGTCATGAGCTTAACTATATACGTTAGGGAGATAATGTGTTTCTCGGCCTAAGCATGGGGATAAATGGTTTAGATCCAAAAAACATAACTCCACTGTGGTAATGTAGTTTAAAATTCTATGCCTCACTTTGTCAAGGTTGTGGACTAAAGTACTATAGCTAATTGGCTGACGGTGTACTATAATAAGATAACAGAACTCTTCATCAAATTTATTTTGAGTGTTTTTTCTCCCCCCAGAATTTTCAATCGAAAGATACACTGAGTGTCTAGGAGAAAAAGGAATAGGTAATATGTATCGGGTAAAAGCTATTTTATTGTGGATTTTGACTTCGAATCTTCGACTGTCAAATTTCAAGAAAATTCTGACTCTGACAATTTGGTCCAATACTATAAGGCAGTGAAGTGTAGGTAAATTCCTAAACTTATTTACGTCTCCCATCATAAAGAAGCCAGTATCTTATCACTTTAATGACAATTGTGGCATTGAAACCTTCTTCGATCTGAGACACAGATGGCTCCCTCCATCAAGTATTACATCACATTCAATGAACAATTAACAATCATGTATTACATTGAATGGGGTTTTATCTTTTCAGAAGAAAATCAAAAAATACAGTAGTTTCGGTAAAATCTTATACTGTTACATACCATAAATGTGCAGTTTCTTTAATTCCACTCCTCTGCACCTTGAATTAACTCTTGAATCATTGCTCTTGGCCTCTACCACAAAGAAAGAGAAGCCCAAGGAACTCAGATAATCTGGGAAGAAACATTTTGTTTTCTATTCACCAATCAAAAACAAGTTAAATACATCAAGTGAAGCTCCATGCTTTAATTAGGGCCCCCAACACTGATCAACTCTGGCATACGCAACTGCTGGTAACTCTAGACCTATTTCCACTTTCCTCAAAAGGTAACATATTACATAGATTTACACAACCTCAAGTACTCAAACAGAACAGACAATGCAGCTAGGCAGCCAGAGTCACAAATATTGGTACATAATTTGTTCTACAATTGAGATAAGTAACATAAGTGAGTTGATAATGAAAGCTCGCAGAAAGTAAAAGAGACAACCTATTGGATACCAACTTTCATGGCAGTTTTTTTGGTTGCCCAATAAGCAAGCACTGTGGTTTTTAACTTGTTATATGAAGCGAGTTGATAATGAAAGCTCGCAGAAAGTAAAAGAGACAACCTATTGAGTACCAACTTTCATGGCAGTTTTTTTGGTTGCCCAATAAGCAAGCACTGTGGTTTTTAACTTGTTATATGAATTGTAACAGAAACAACTACACAATTCTTCTCAGAAAAACACCAGAAACCAATTCCAATTTCCAACTAGAGAAAATAAAGAATAAAAATCATATTTAAATAAACAAGAACGATTGTTTCAATTGTGCTACTAAATTTACAGTACATTAGGATAAATAAACTATACTGCCTAATGTCAACTAGCCACCAAGCTGCAATGCCGCATTTTCTTTTTTGGTGCCGCACATACAATTACACCCATATAACTATATAAGGTAAGACCACAAGATATTAATTTAGATCTTCCTATTATTCATAACCTTAATGCAGAATTAGAGAATATCTAAAACACTATGTTTTTTAGTAATCTGAATTAATAGCAAAGTCCAATATCTTCATCAATCATGAACATCAACAGCCAACGAGCCCACATAATATCTATTAGTCCTTGAACTATTATTGCGACTCTTAGGGCACACTAAAAGTACTCAAGCTTGGCTCATGATTAGCTAAGTTAGATGCCACTTGAGGTTGGCTACCAACTTGTGCTGTTCAATCTCACTCAATTAGCTAAGAAACACTCTAATACCTAATAAAAGATCAAGGTATGACAACCCAATATATGATGACTCAAGTGGAGATTGCTTATAAGATGGGAGAACCAAGCACATAGAAGCTTAACTTGTCTTTACTCAATGTAAGATATGCTCTGCTAGAAGAGCATCATTTGACAATGAAAAACACAAATGCAACATTTTTTAAATCAGTTCCCCTCCCTATATCTAAAACTATTGAATTACATGAGAATGATTGTCGCACTTAAAACTTCAGCGCTGACAGGAAATATCCTTTGTGGGATTGGTTTTACATTATTAGAAGGAAATAAAACCCAGCAAGTCCATTCCTGGAAAGAATAAAGATGTTTCGGGTGCGAACAGGGAATTCATGGAGTTAAATCCAAATTTGTTCAGGATTAACATGAATAGAGAGGCCATGATAGCAGATTTCATGATGGGGAGTAGTTTGGACCACGAGATTCCAATGAACTTTGCAATATGAGGAGGTGGACTCTACAGAATTTCATGTATGGTTGTCATATGAGTGAGGGGGAGCGTGGGAACAGATGAAAGGCGTCCAAAAACGGTTTACAATGAATTCATTCTGTATTTCATCCGTGTGTTTCCCTAGAGAGGTATTTGGCAGATGAAAGCTCTGAAGAAGGTGTCTTTCAAGAGGGAACAGAGCTTTGGAAGCTATTTCAATGAGACAAATCTTAGTTGGGGGAAAATTCTTGTTCATTTGTGCTTCATGTATAAGGAAGCAAGAGAGAATGTTGACCACTTGGTGCTTAAAACTTGTTAATTGGTGCTGCGACTATAAGGTAGTGAGAGAGACTGTTGACCATTTGTTGCTTCATTTTGGAGTGGCTAGAGAATTTGGGTGCTTGCCCTTGACCTGGATTAGTGCTGTGATCCATCCGAGCAAGAGCTGATCTTATGCAGCAGCAGCAGCTTGGAGGGGAGGAGGACAGGGAAATGTAGGAAGTTGCCCATTCTTGTGTGTGGTCTTTGGGGAGAGTAGAATGGGAATGCTTCTGAGGGTGAGAAATCGAAGTTTTGATTATGGATCTATTGCCATTCTTTTTTAATTATTTTTTTTTTTTGGTGCATGGAGTCAATTTTTTCATCTTCTATTGATTGCTAGAAAGACATTATCAGGAATATGTTCTTGTGTGTGGTTCATCAAGAGATACCCTGTACTAGGATTATGTCCCTTGCTCTAGTACCCTATAGCAAACTTTTGATAATTAATTGGGAGCTTTGAGGGGCGGGTGTCTAGAAATTCAACCACATTGTATTGTCTCATTCAAAAAATCTGTACAGATGTTAGAAAAGGGAAACCATCTTCATGTCTTTCTAGGAAAATCATCATACTCAGGCAGCTGATAAAGTTTCAAAACTCTATTCCTGGAACGCATGCAAATTCAGTACCATTTGTTACTAACATTGATCTCAGAAAATTGAACTCTATTCCTGGAACACGTGATCTCATAAAATTGAGACTGTTCAAAAAATTATCAGCAGTTGAGATCATCCGTGTTACTTAATCATTCAGCAAAACTTATTTTAGACATTAGATTTTGAATAACTACATTAAACTGAACATGAAGACCCTTCATAAGGTTTCTCAAATAGCCAAGAAAAACAGCAATTAGACCATGTTGCTCAAAACAGAAAGCTGCATGCGTACAAATTCTTTTCTTCAAAATAAGCTCACGGATTGTTAAATCAGCTTTCCAGGGATATGATTTTAGGTGTTGATTGTTAACTGATACATCGTGTCCTTCACGTATCCTGTGTCACTAATCCGCCGTTTTTCTTTCACAATAGACACATTTGTTGCTTGTAAAAAAGGAGGGAAAAGAAATATTCTATTATGCAGTTCGATTACCTGGTCCTGTCACTTGAAACATTTACAAATTTTTAGTCAAGTGAAGCCCTTTTTCTAATAATTTCCGAAAATGATAAAATTCTAATTCTTTTGCCCTGTAAGCTCCCAAACTCTTCGTTCCTCTTAAGGTAAGCATGAGAAAATAGTTTCCTTTGTTGGTAAATCACACCAGCAGGTTTCCCAAGATGTAATGTTGAAGTGTGTGGTTCAAAAGCACCATTTATGTGAGAAACAAAACCATCGTCATTTCATAAAAGTGATGCTGGCCATTAAGATCACATGGAAATAACAGCTAGGCAAGAATACTGATCGACATAGGCAAGATCAGGAAACACTACTACTTCATTAAAGTTGGCAAAGTAAACATCAACAGAAAAGTACGGAATAAATGAATTGACTGAACCGATCTAACATTAAGAGTCTTCACAAAAATTATCTCAGTGCCCTAGAACCAGCAAAATAAACTAACATGTCAATCGCAGAAAGTGCGAGGAAGTAGTTTGCTAGATAAGTAAAGATGCAACCTCAACAATCAATCTCAACTGTGCATGGCTCCCACATCATTTCTATTGTAATTTTTTGCACTGCCTTTTGAGCATATTCAAAAGTAACAATCCATTTGCACTACCAAGTAGAACATAACAGACTTCTATAAGGCGCTTGGATAGTACATTGAACATATGCAACAACTTTAATTAAAAACTTCTGCCAATTCATTGAGCTCATCACAGAATGGGTAAAATTCTTTCCCTTTCACCTCTGCAGGTTTGTAGTCAGTAGTACCTTCATTTGACATCACAGAAATTGGAAGTCATGAGACCACAAACTTCAAGGCAACACTCAAAAGGAATACCATCCCCGACAATTTTATCTAACCCTGCAAGCAGCATAATCATTTTCTCCATGAGTCCTAGCCCTTAACAATAGATATTCAATTACATAAACAGAAAGAAACATAACCTATGGAGGAGCTTCAGAGACTTTGTATGTACTAGGAGTTATCAACCCCAACCACAAACCAGGAAACACATTCTGCAAAAATATCACAAACAACTATCATTAGGTAAGACACCAAACCATAGCAACTGCATCAGAGGGTGAAATTCAGCATAGAACAATAAGTCCTTACATCAAGCTGTTTCTGAACTGCCTTTCCTCTCTTCTTTGGCTTCTGACAAGGCTTTGACCCAGTCATTGCAAAAATGTCCTCTTCTATCTCCTCTGGAGAAAGAGCAATAGAGAACTTTGGCACCTTCTCCTTCTTATTAGCAGTCGATTTGCAACCACCTCCAGTTGCCCGAGGCAATAGAGATTTGTTCTCCTGTGACGACCCGCCAGCTGCAGATTTTCCCACATTTCCATCTGCTGGCTTGTGAAGGGGCTTCCTAGGCCTCAAATTCCAAGTTTTTGCCCCCAGTTCTTCCCCTTTTCTAAGGACTGTACCTGTCTTTCCATCATGTTGAACCTCCTCAGACTTTTTCTTTGTACGGAGACGAATATAGATCTTTGGTTTCTCCTCTTTAGCCACAGCCACATCAATATCCGATGTCAACAACTTTTTATCTGATGTCTCAATAGTGTGATCAGAAGCTGAAAAAGAAAAGTCATCTTTGACACTCAAAGGCGGTGCAAAAGTTTTCTGATCATCATGAGAAAAACCGCTCCTGAACAAAGCAGCATTGCTGGACCTCGATTTGGAGCTCAAATCAGGCATTGCAGACTGTCCTAGTGTCAGTAGAGATTGCAATGGCGCTGAATCAGACAGCGGAGATTGGCACAGCACAACATCAGGCGAAGGAGATTGTTGAGTTGAAGAGTCACCAAGTTGGTGATCACATTGATTGCTGGTCAGGCAGTTATTGGACAATTTCAATTGGGAAAATGAGCTGTGGAGTGCTTGGTACTTAGGTGATGACATGGTATTCCTTGTCGGTTGTGATAATTACAAATTGCTAAGACCAAGACTCTACCTCTCTCTGATTGACCACAAAAAATTTTCTGTTTGATTTTTCACAGAACTCCAAAAAAGACAATCAACACAAATGAACTTGAAGAGAGAGAGAGAGAGACGAAGCAAGCGAAGAGAAAAAGAGAGATGATGGAGATTTCTCTATGATCTTTCAATGCATGTGAAGGTTCATAGCAAATATCACGACTGTAAATATACAAGAACTGGAGAGATAAAAAAGAAAAGAGAACCTCGCAAGAGGAAAAGAGATGAACAATTTCTCTCTCTCTAAAATGGGTTGAATTTAGACACATAATGTGTAGATATAGCGCTCGGCAGAGTCCAAAGCTCTATTCAAGCAAAAAAAAACCTAAAAACAAAATGTTGGAGAGAGAAAGGTTGTGTGTGTGCTGTGTGAACCAGAGAGAGAGGGGTGAGGCTAAGAGGTGAAGTGAGTGAAGCTGTTGTGAAGAAGAGGAGGGTTATAAATACTGCAAGTCTGGGATGAAGACGGAAATTTAATGCACTTAATCGATTTTACATTTGATGATCTGTTTATTTCCTAGATTACAGTAATTTACTATTCTTCCTTTAAAAGGAAAAAACATTGAAGACAAAAAAAAAGATGCTTACTAATCTAGCATGCAGGATTATGACATACACGTGTTATATACGTAAAGTGCAGATGTACGTGTGGAGCGGGTCCACCTTAAAAGTAGGTTTATGATGACGCAGTGTGCTCATTATGTGTTTGTATTCCTCCTTTTTTTCTTCATTTAAGTTACCATATGGTTTAAATGCGGTCACTACCGTACTTTCTAGCACTGATAATAATGAAACACAAATAGGTTTGAAATGTCAATAAACACCTAAACAACGAGTTTATACCCCACCAATCAAATTCAAAGTGGTACTACAACACATCATGTTGGGTTGTTGTGGTTAAATATTCCTTCAATTGTTATCCAAAATTGTAAGAAAAAGTTTGTTATTGCATCAGCACTCAATGTGAATAATTAAAGACGACAACTAAGTCGAGCATAGACTAACCGAAAAAACTGCATGCTTCCAGCAAGTGGTGAAAGTACAGATACAAAGAAGGCATATCAATAAGAAAGATTTGATGACAATCTAGAATCTGTTGCAGTTATCAGAGAGGATCTATGTTTCATATTCCTGCCAATATTGAAAAAGTTACCATGTACAGACATATTTCTACATTTGAACATAAATAGAATTTTCAAACGTGATGGTCTCCCAATGAATAAGTACCACTACGTACGGCCTTTTTTCCATACAATTCCTATGCTACTACCTATCAAAATTAGCATTATGAAAATCTTTCAAGAGAAGCATAGTTTCTCCTATGTCAAACATAATATCAATTCCCTGGCTTGCCTAAAACTGTCACAACACTAACATACAGAATAAGAAGATATCTTGGCAAAGACTGTGCACGGCTATATTAGAATTAGGGCTTCCCAAAAAACCTATATTCCTGCACATTGAAATATATAGAGCATGTAGTCTCATTAGCAACACACCAGATGCAATATAAAAATCTCTGTCCCTAAGAAGTATATGCAAAACCAGAGAGCATGAGAAATGTGATCAATGTGAATTCAAATAAAAGGATCGGTAATTGATGATATTCGTATATCTCATATACACTGACTGAATGTCATCAAAACCATTGCATGTTTGAAAAAACAAAAAGATATGTTTAAGTAACTCTAAAGAGATATTTTGTTTGCATGACATTATTGGATAAGGTAGTTTCCGGCTATTGTAACTTACAACAACAATAAATTCATCTTATATTTCTTTTTTCCTATGAGAAAAGTTTCCCTTATGTCTCAGATATATCCTACCTCGTTAGTCAATTCCAAGTATTTGCAATAAGGCTTAGTGAAATTGAGCTGTATATCTTCTTAAAACAACAGTTGTATAAACCCCGCGTCTCTTCAGCACTGTATCATCACAATCGGACTTTCATCTCTTCCCCACAGACAATTGTTTGAGGATGCTCAAAATATTGACAATAAATCATTTTTGCTATTACACAACAGAAAAAAAGAAAAAAAACTGATGTAAAAATTCCATACAATGCGTGGCAGGAGTTACAATTCAATTGGGTCAAGTTATGAATCAATTGGATCAATTAGGATCGAAATTTAGGGATCAATCCCAACTTTTTTAAATCTTATTGAATCGTACCTTTGATCTCATTGAGTCCGATGGAATCATAACTTTTTTCAATTTTTCGGCCCCATAGTTTGTCCCCATAAGACATATAATACTTCTCACAAATTAAGATCAATATAGAAACCTAGACATATTGGTTAATAAAAAGTAAATGACAAGATATTCAATGAATATGGAGGCTACTTGTCTTTCATAATAAAAAGATGAAGACAATTTGTCATTCTATGAAAACCTAGAGGGTAATCCATAGTGTAGTTGTTCTGTATCGTTCCCCATTTCTATGACGACCCATGATCTTTAAAGCCACTAGCAATTCCGCATAGAAAAAACCGCGAATCTTTCGATCAAAAAAGAACCTATTCACAGGCAACAAACCATTAATATCTCTGTGATCAGTGCATATACTTATGTTGAAAATTTCAAATTCATTGATGAGGTGATACCTGGGAATTTTATTGAAGGATTTTGAGAACGTTAAAGAAGAGTGTACCTGACGGCTATTTTGTAGAAGGTTATGGAGTTTTCGGTTATGGCGGAGGAAAAGTGGCGGGAAAGAGAGGTGTAGAGAGGCAGAGTGGCGGTGTAACTAAGTTGGTTTCACCGGGAAAATATTGACCGAAATGCGTACACTACCCACCGCTACTAATGCTCTTTTGGGCAGGTGGATGGAATAGAAAGTAGGTAAATGAAACGTAAGAGGGATATATTGTTTATTTTTAAGGATGGAAAATAATAAACATACATTTACTTTTTTATGTGTTTGATTTAATTTTTTTTTTTTTGTAATAGCTAAGATTAGAGATGACATTCGAGTTATGTTAAGTTATTGTTTGTTTGTGTCGAATATTAGTTAAACATAATTTAACTCATTTAATTAATTGTGTCGTGTCGAGTTGTGAGTTGACCTATTTATTTTTGTATCGAATTCGAGTTGTGTCATCGTGTTGAATCGAAAATTTTTTACCCTTAGTTAAGATGAAAAAAAAAAAATTTAGTTAATTTAAATTTTTTGTTTTATTTTAAAATTTATTTTTAAAATATATGTACACATACATATTTACCGTTGTATTTTTATATGAAATTAATGTATACATAATATATGTATATATAAAAATATATATAAACAAATAAGATACATCTCAACATAATATAATTAACTTTTTATCCACTTTCCTTCTGAATTTGGGGGGATTGATTTTGGTAACTTAGAAAAAAATTTAATTCATCCACTTTTCCATCTGTAATATTTTTCCTTCCTTACCAAATATGATGTTTTATTTATCCCTCCAACTTTCCATTATTCCAACTTTTTATCTTTCCACTTTTTTATTGTAGCAAACGGAGCATAAGGGGTAATTTTAAGGGAGGATTACACTTAGCTCTAATTGTATACTAAGGGGGTAATTTTAAGGGAGGATTACACTTACACCCTTATTATATACTAAGGACTTGTTTGTTTGAGGTATAAGTTTTTATATTCATTTCACTTCGATTTAATGGTATATTATACTCGGTCTTAAATTATAATCTCATATTTTCCCTTATTTGTTTGTCACAAAACATTGTCTGTGTAATACCTATTTAAAAAAGTTAAAAATTGAAACTACTCAATGTAAAAAGACAATTGTAACCTTCTAAAAAGTCAAAAATTGTAACCGGGTTTTATACGGAGCATTGTACATAAGGGCATTTAAGTCTTTTTACTCTATTATTGCTCCATAAAATTTGTACTGAGAATATTATATCATCGGATCGGTGGTATTGCTTAACATCGTATACAAAGACATAAGAGTTACAGTTCACACAGGGTCAGTACTATGACCCAAAAATTAATACCGAGTTAAAAAATATCAAACAAACAAGGTAAAAGTAGGCCTCACGTATTATTTTTCTTATACCACTACTCTTACACCTAAAACAAAGAGGCCCTAATTGTATAATTATATACTAATTATTATTTAAAAAAAATAGATTTTTATTTTAATAAATGTCATAATAAATATATGAATTTTAATTTTAAAATATTTAATATTTAATATTTAATATTTTATCTTTAATTGAAGTATTTTTGATTTAAGTATAATATTTTAAATTTGAAAAGGTCTAAATATTATAATAAGAGATTTGACTATAATTTATAAATAACATGTATAATTTGTGTACTATTTGAAATGTCAAGGTTATTAGTACATAATCTCGTTAAAAAAAAACATAAATGACAAAATATCATATGACTAGTTATTATTTGTGTTTGAAGGCATAAAATAATAAAAAAATAGTAAACAATAAATATATTTATATTCATATTTAAAATCAAATCACAAATATAATGAAAAGATAAAGGAATTTAAACATCATTTTACAGCGGAGGTGAGAGGTGGTGGGCGATATTGGTAATGGTAGGAGACGGTGATGGTTGTGATAGGTGACACTGACCGTGTTGAAGGTGATGGTGGTGGCGGTGGGGGGGGGGGGTTAGTGGCAACGATGGTGACAACTACGACGGTGGTGGCCGTGGTAATAGTGGCGACGACATTAGCAGTGGGGGTGGTAGAGGTAGAGGTAGTGGTGGGGCAGTTTCAAATACTATTTTTTTTAAAGGATTTATGAGAAAATTTTTTAAAAGTACTTCTAAAAAATTACTCAAAATACACTCTTAGGGACCTATTTTTTCTATTAAATTTATGGTGTTAATATTAGTTGTTATATTAACTTTAAAGTAAAATTTAAAACGATTTTAATTGCGAATAATAAAAGTTATTTTGTTTATTTTTTATTTTGAATTATAATATACTTTATTATATAGATTTAAATTTTTTATTAAAACTTAAACGACACGAGACCAAATAACAAAATCGACGTTACTTGTCCTCAAAGGTGGTGTTTGGATAGTGAGATAAAGGAGGTTATCCACTAGTTGGATAGGATAACATAAGAGTGGGATCCATATAACCGTTGTTTGGGAAGCATTTTTGAGATTGACTACAAATCCCGGGTCATCGCTTGACCTGGTGCGACAGTAGAATGTTAACCCTCACACACCGGTCTTACGTAACCCAGCCACCCCCCCCCCCCCCGGGTTACAAACCCAAGCAATTGGTTACCCTACGTATTTGCCCCTTTCTCTTTCTCTTTCTCCACGTTCTGTCTAGCGAAGAAGAGGTCCTCCAATTTTCTGCATCTGTAGGTGAGAGCTTCTTCACAGAGTCAACGAAGAAGACGACATAACTGGATAGAACGAAGAACACAACTTCTTCTTGAGGTAAGTTTCTCATCGTTCTCTCTATCTCTATAATTATGTCTCTCTCTCTCTCTCTCTCTCTCTCTCGATCTCTCTGGACAGAACGAAGAACACACACCGAAGATCAGATCTGCTTTTGTTCACCCTCTATTTGACAAACAGGTCTGGATCTGAGTTTGACGGACATATTTAGATTTGAATTTAGAGCGCTGATGTATGGGCTTAAAATGGTGGAGCAGTATGGTTTGATGGATTTACAGGATATTGATTGAGTCAAACTCAATTAGGAACTTGTTAATGGCTGAGGACCCTCAGAGCAATGAAGTGTTTAAGAATCACTATCTTGATATGGATGTGCTCTACCGTTCTGGTGAAACACTACAGGTGACATAATCTAATCATTTCTTTTAAAACAAAATTGCCATACTTTTTAATTTTGTAATTTTTTTCGTCAATGCTTTAATGAAAGATTCCTACCTTCATTTGAATACCATGTATCTTGTAGATGATGGCATAAAATGTGGAGTGAACTTGGTGGAACTAGGATTTGATCTAAAGAAAATGTCTTATAGTATTCCTATGCTTCTATGATCTTTGAGCCTAATTAGGTTGTGGATATGTTGATACTTGTAACATTTTGAGCCTCATAAAATATCTAGTTTGTTAATTTTCCAGAGTGTTAGTTAATCACCTCTTCTACCAGTTGAAATGTTATGCAACTTGCACTGTGAGAAGCTGCTTATAATTTGGAGAAAGGAATCATTGATTAACTCTATTTGTGGCATGTGTGCTTATGATAAATTTATCCATTGTGCCTGAGCATGTTATCTACCACCGAATTTTGCTACTCAGATAGTGCGAAGGCTCAAAGCTTTGAGAACTTTTGGTCCATATAGAAATTGGCTCTTCACAACTGTTTAACAGTGGACAATTAGCTAGCTGTTTATAAATACAATCTGCAACTTACATTGAATTGTCTTTTTCTCCCAGTAAATGACTTGCTTTTATTAGTTTTAACTTGTCAACATTATGTTCAGACATTGTGCTTATATTATTATTACTTATTTGATCACCTTGGGCAGGGGCATTCTTACATACACGCCTCGCTTGGTTTCAGTTGATTTTCAAAGTGCTTATTTTATTTTTATGTTGAGTTGTGAGCAATTGAATGTATGCTTTTATGTCATTTCCTATGTATTTCCCTTCATAATTTCATATGTCATAGAGAGTATGGAAATTGGTATATAACTATATGGTATTCAAAGCTTTTTGGCGACCTTTTTGATTTATTCTACATATATTTTTTAAATATATTTGGAAAAATCCAGGAAAAGTTATCTTTGTGATAATTTGATTGTGTAAATAATATCACACCACACATATGAGGGGGCTTTTGAAAGATCTACTGGAGATTTGGGTGGTGTTAAAGTTTGTTGTATCAGTTTCCTTTTCCTGGGTCTTCTTGGGGTTCTTTTTCGAATGAGTTGAAGGGTTTCTTTTGTGGGTGGAGAACCAAGAGGCATTGATGTTTACTGGGATAAAATGAGTGTTTGAGATCTTTTGGTATATTGACAAATGAGATGACTTTGCTTTGGCCAATCGAAACAATTGTAGGTAGCATGGTATTTATATTGTGTAATTCCTCTAAATTTTACCATTTTCTAGGTTGTACCAGTACATGAGTCAATAGATATTTTCAATTGAAAAACTTCTTAAATGTCTTACTAGGACCTTCAATTATACAATAGGTCTCCTAAAAAGTGGCTGCCATAATTACAACTTTGTTTGGAAATGTTATTTATCAATTTTTTGACATCACAGGTTTTCTTGGATCCATGAGTTCACATGGTACACTGTACAATGATATCCCACCTGTATGATCTGATGTTGTCACATGTTGAATCTGTGTTAGGTAAATTTGTGGCTTAGATTAAAGAGAGGATTGGTACATTTGATATCCCGATAAGACACATATACAAAGAAGCCAATTTTGTGGCTGACAGTCTAGCTAACAGAGCAGTGGATGATGGCTTTTCATCTGTTTTTTCTGTTTCTGCTACTTTGCCCAGTTCAGTGAAATGAAGGCTTATGCAAGATCAGATAGGTTTGTCGGTTGTACGCAAGAAGAGAATGGTTATTTTTGATGATAAAGGCTGAGTTTTTTTTTGTGATGTAGGCAATTTCTGCTATGCTGCAGTAAGTTGAGCAATTGTGTTCTGTTATGTGAAGTAGTCTGTGCTGATATGGTGTGCTGGTATAAATGAAGCTGATGACTGGATTGTTGCTGATATGCTGGATGGAGATGGTGGTTGTATATTGCAAGAGCTAAAACCGAAGATGACAGACTAATTTTTTGTCCTTTCTCTTGTAAATAAAAATAGAAAATTTTGTTCTTGTAGCAGTTTTCTACATTTTTGTTCAAACAGAATGTTTATGTTTTTGATTCTTGTAATTTATGATATTTATTCAATAAAATACCTTTTTTTCTTTAAAAAAAAAAATTGTTTTGGTTGCTTTATCACATTGTTTTATGGCAAGGTTGTTTGTCATTTTCCCATTGTAATCAATTTTTAAGAAATATAATAAAGTGTTGATTTGTTTGAAAAAAAATTACAAAAAAAAAATTATATATATTTAACTTTCCTTATTTTTATATGTTTTTATGTATATTTAAAAAATATATAATTTTATTAGGTTTAGGTGAGTTAACCAAACATAGGATATAATTAGATTGGAATAAACAAAGTCATGGGTAAAATAATAAACTACTACAAAATTATTTGTGTAATTTATGGGACCTATTGAATTATATATTTGTTTCTCAAATAAAGGTTAGAATTGGATATAATTTTAGGTTAGAATTTTAAAGCGAATGATTTTAAAGGGAATTAGAATTTTAAAATGAACGAGTGAATTTGACTTCAATGAATTTAAATATAAAAAAAAAATTTATATCCGACCCGTTACCCAAAAACACCGTAAGGACAAATTATCGATGATACCTTGGTTATCATTAACAAAGAGTAAACCCGTACTTTCACTTCCAAACAAGCCACAAAAGACAAAACCCCTGATTATAGAGACCGATAACGTGTCATAACGTCCCTTTCTATGTCAGAGATGGCTTAGCAAGGCCAAACTTTGCAAAACCCTACACCGGCGGCTAGTGGTCCACCGGTTGGGGAAGATACGAACAGATTCGCCACCTTGAAACGTCGGCGTGACGATGGAGACGCGTCGGCGGCGGAGGGAACCATTGTGGATGTGCCGCCTTCGAAGCGGTTGCAAGTGGCGCAAGACATAGTATTCAGAATCGTCGTGCCATCGAGGCAGATCGGGAAGGTTATTGGTAAGGCAGGGACTCGTATTCAGAAGATTCGTGAAGAGAACAAAGCCACCATCAAAGTTGCCGATGCAATCGCGGTGAGTAGAATTATTAGAAGTTTCGTGTATGTTGTTTGGTTTTCCTAGAAAATTTTGGAAGGAAAACATAATATAATTTGATATTAATGATTTGTTTGGTTGCTGAGGAAAATAAACGAAAACAGAATGAAGCGTTGTTGGTGTAGGATAAAAAGTTGTAAAATATAATGTTGTTGCTCTTCTGTTTAGTTTCTTTGAAAGTGTGGTGTGAGAAAAGATAATTGGTTCTGTTGTTTGGTTGCTGGAAATTGTCCCAATAGAGAAGAATGCGTGATTTAAATTAGAACTATTTGTTTGATTTCTTGGATAATAAAAGGAAACAATTTGAACAGAAAATCTTGTTCTTGGGTTGGAAAGGGAAGAATACCATATAAAAAGATGAAAAAACATTCTAGATACTGACAAATTTCTGTTTAGATACAGAGAATTATGTGGTGTGAGAAGAAAAGAAAATAGGGTTTTGATTGTTTGCTTCCATAAGGTGGCCAAACAAATGGTAGGAATAGAGTTGGGATTATAATCTATTTTAACCCATATTGTTGAGTTTGTATCTTGTTATTGAAGTCAATATGTTCTCTTACAATGGATTAAAGTGATTCAGAATATTTTGGAATTGTGATTGTTATGTTTCAGTGGACTTGATTGCATGTGATATGGATGATGGAGTGTCCAGTGTAGACCAGTGAAGCCCTATATTGTGTTTTTAGTAAGATTTGATATGATAATGATTAAGTTTTCAACTATCAAGAGTCCACTGATGCACCTTTTTAGTTATGTTTAGTGCTAGAAGTATAAAAATAAGCATGTATGTTTTCACATTCTTTTTCAACAGCTAAGGCCCGAGGTGATATTAGGCTCAAGAAATGTAAATCAAGGAATGGCTACGTCTCTCTCTCTCTCTCTCTCCTGTTTGGTGGTATGATTTGCAAATTGAGCATTGTAAAATTGTAAATTTTTTCAACCTTTTGATGTTTTGCAGCGACACGAAGAGCGAGTAATCATCATAAGTTCTAAAGACAGTGACCACACCTTTTCTGATGCAGAGAATGCCCTTCATCAAATAGCCAGTCTTGTTCTAAAGGCAACACAACTATATGAAGCTATAATGCAACTAAAGTATCACAACAATGTAATGCATTCCAGTACAGTAATGCATTTCTTTTAAAGTTGTTCTCAATTGACATGGGTACAATTTTATGTAGTATGAGTATGTCACAGCAAGCTTTTTTGTGTTGCAAGCGGTGGATAGTTTCTATCTCTTTCATTTGGTATTACCTGGTTTTGCCTAGATCAAAAGTAGACATGATGGTGTCTATGTGCTCGCTTTGGAAGGTTTTGAAGGAATGGATCAGAAGAACCTATTTGAGAGCAATGACCTTTTTTGTTTTGAATCTCAAGGATGTCTGATGTGTCTGGAATAGTTGTTTGGTCATCGTCAACCTTATTAGAAGTTAGGTTTCACTTGATTTTATTTATTCTTAGGGTCTTTTCATTAGGGGAACATTAGAGGGAGAAAGAGGAAAACATACTATGTTTTTAGTTAGGCATTTGGATGATCTAAATATTTCAAAGTGCCCAATAATGCATTCCAAGCCATGGATTCAATGTATGGGAATCAAATGACCAGGTTATCTAGATTAGGAATTCACAACATGTTTTCTGTTTATGTTTCAATGTTTGAGAGTCTTAGTTAATTTAATGGTGGGATTCTTTGAGTTTATATCTATATTTAAAGGACTAGTCTAAGCTTTTGTACTTGTATTTCTCATGATGTCCATATGTATCCTTGTGCCTTTCTGTTACCTAAAGGAGCCCTTTCCTGCACTCTTTTAAAATATATACCTTTATTGTGGTGAATTTTCCACATGTTTTTTGGTCTATGTAGTATACTAGTATATTTGATGCCACTTGTTTTTGTTGAACTCGTAAAATGATTGTATAGCCGTGTTACTTAAACATTATGTGTATTTCATAGAGTAACCCAAACACTTTTCATAGACTGTACAAGGATTAATGTAAATTATAGTAGT